AGGAGAACAGAGATGGGTGCTGCCAGGTATGCACTAGGTGGTGACTGCCCTGACTTCTCAGGGCCTCTGTTTCTTCATTTGTAAAAAGAGCTAATAGAAGATGGTTTCACCAAATGCCTGTACGGTGAGTCCTCTAAAGAACTCGCTGGCCATCCAGTTTCCTTTTATATTCCTGTAATGCAGAAGGAGAGAGGGAAATTATCCATTTGTGCCCTGCAGTGGTGTATGTGAGGTGGTGGTAATCCAGGCCAGTGACAGCCAGCCCTGCCAGACCTGCCTGCCCTTTCCAGGGCAAGTATGTAGTCACGCCCTGTCTACTCCGCTGAAATGAAACTTGTAGTTTACATAACCTACCCACCCAGATAACTAAAAAGAATAAGGCTTTCACTGTTAAATAAAGAAGAAATAGCAAGAAATATTTATAAGAAAATATTTTGTATTTAATAATGAAGTAGAAGTGTTTCAGTGAATGAATTCTGGTTTTTGAGATGTAAGATAATATTCAACTGAATAATTTTGAAACTTTAACAATATTTGACCTTTTAAAATCAGGGCTAATATATTTATACACGTCTGTAGGATTACCATGAACACAGTTTCTTTAGATGTGCACCTATTCAGGTGTGCTTATTGGCAATCAGGATACTGTGATACAGTAGGTAATAGGATTTTCCGAAATGGTGAACAACTTTTGGCATTTGTTCATAAATGAGGAAAAGAATCATTTTTTTTTCATAGTAGTTACATTCCTGGAAAACTATCTATGTAAAAAAATTTCCTTGTTTTTGTATCTAAAATGGAGTTAGGTTTCAAGCTCAGTTATTATAAGCAGATTTTTCACCTATGTGACTGTCTCTAAGTACATTAGACAATTGTACAGGACACAGGACACAGGACACAGGACAATTCTTTATTGTGCAGAACAGTCCCTGCATTGAGACATCTGACATCCCTGTTTCCTGGCCGCTGAATGCCAGTAGCCCTTGGGCCCTGCCATCATTATGGCAATGACAACCTCCCCACATTTCTAGCAAGTTCCCTGTGATGAGTTTCTGCCCTGTTGGAAACATTTGCTCTGGATGGGCATGCAAAGTTTCTAGACAGGATCGATTACAGACTCAGGATCATCTAGAAAAGAAAACAGTAAAATCTTTCAGTGAGGGACAGTAGCTAAAAGGGATAAAAAGCAATAATAGGGAACGAGAGGGTATATTACAATTTTTTTTGTTGTTGAAGTGTATTTCACTTACAATATTATATTAGTTTCAGGTGTACCACATAGTGATTTGGTATTTTTATACATTATAAAATGATAACCATGATAAGTCTAGTTACCATCTGTCACCATACAAAGTTATTACAATATTATTGATCATATTCCCTATGTGGTACATTTACATCCCTGTGATTCATTTATTTTGCAACTGGAGAGCTGTACCTCTTAATCTCTCCCACCCATTTCACTGCTCACCCCCCACCAGGAACCACCTGTTTGTTCTCTGTACCTCTGAGTCTCTTTCTGTTTTGTTATGTTGTTTCATTTGTTTTGTTTTTTAGATTCCACAGGTTAAGTGAAATCATATGGTATTTGTCTTTCAAATAATGAATACTTTTCTTGATTGCACTTGTATCAATTAAAATGCGTTGGGCTGCAAGTAAAGAAAATTCACCTAGAAACAGCTTAATCAATAAGGAAATGCACCCTCACATATGGGGGAAATTGAGAGGTATGGAATATTGCCAACTGTGAAATGATTCAGTGAGTATATATTCTGGAGCCAGACTAGCTGGGTTTGTATTCTAGACTCACAATTTATTAGCTAGTTGTATTATCTTTGGCAAGTGACCTAACTTTTCTCTGTCTCAGTTCTATCATCTGTAAAATGGGGTAGATTGTACCCACCTCATAGGATTAAATGAGTTAATATAGGTAAAAGTGCAGAACAGGGCTTGGTGCTTAGTGTTAGCTATTATTATTGTCATTAGCATCACAAAAACAGCTTGGCTATTTAGAATCATCTTGATTTTCCTATGGTAAGACCCTGAGCAGAGAATCCAACCACACTGTAACCAGACTATAGAAACCAAGAGATAATTGCAAGTGTTGTTTTAAACTGTAAGTTTGTTGTATTTTGTTACACAGCAACAGAAAACTAATGCAGCTGGCTTCCTCCTAAGGCGGTTTCCTTGGGCGTTTGCAAGAGGGCTGCCAGGAGTAATTGGTGCCAAATACACCTCCAGTGGGAGAAAAAGGGACCACTTCATTATCTGGTTTTCCTTAAGGACAAAGAAAACTTCTCCAAAAGTCCCCAGAAAATTTTCTCTCGTATCTCATTAATTGATGGAATTGGGTCAATGTACTTGCTTCTTAATGAATTGCTGATGGCGGGACTGGTATTACCACAGTTTGTTATGCAATGTCAAGTTTGAAAATGGGACAACTAAAAATACACTTAAATGGAAAAAAATTGGCAGTGAAGAGATAAGATAAAAAATTATCAAATACTTAAATCTTTTTGTACATTCCATATTCCCATCCGTGGTCCACTTTCCAAGCACGTAGAATGAAATCTGGATCCTTGGATTGAATAGAATTTAAGATGTTTGGGGAAGCCCGATCACTGATTGCCTTTGGGAGATGAAGGAAGGCGGGGTGGGGGTGGGCATCCAGGTTCCGGCCTCAGTCTTGTGTATGTGGAGTTCTGAGGCACCTACGGGATCTCCAATGTTCAGTGGGCAGTTTGAAAATAGGAATCGTGAGCTTAGCAATGAATGTCAGTGGTGGACTTGAGGGTCCCTTTGGGACTCTCTTCTAAGTGATATTCTCTTTTTCTGTAGAGCTACCAGCAGGTAAGTGTCTGGCTCAATGTCTTTGTGGCTCTTGGGTAAGAATAGAGTATGTCCTTCATTTGTAAGGTTGCATGATAGCAGATTTAAAACATCTATCAGAAGTTATGTATTTACCCAGGATAAAGCCATGCAATAATTCTACAACAGCTAACATTTTCATCTATTTTATACTTGCCCTGATTTTTTTTATGAACCATCATTTTATGTCTCATGAAGAGCAGGTTTTATTTCTAATAGAATAGGACAAAAGTAGGTGTGACTTGGAGAAGATTCATGAGGTTGGTGTGAATTGTGTATCTGTCAGGGAGCTGGCAGGGGGCAGATGGCACAAGCCAAAAGGTTATTTGGAAAGCTTTAGTGAAAGGACTATTTAAATGCGAGCAGTGATAAGGGAAACCCACTGGGGAAGGTGAAGCACCCTGGCGCTAGCAGCAGCCAGGAGCTGTCACCACCCAGAGGGCATGGTTACTGGAACTAGAGTTGTAGCTATAGGAGATAACACAGCCACTACCAACCTGCGGTCTAGCAGGGAGGGTGCTGGAGAGTAAATGCCCTGACCTCTTTGTTTGACCTCTAATCTTCAGAGGGCATCCATCAGAGTGATGCAGTGGGGAAGTGGATCTGGAGGTGCTAATGGGGATTATCCAGCATAGGTCATGTAAAACACACTGTATGTAATCATCTCCTTTTTGATTTTGTTTTGACACAGAAAGACATTTATGGTGTGTCCATCCATCCACCCATCCATCCATCCTTCCATCCATCCACCGTTCTATCTACTCTGTTTATCTACCTAATTCTTTTTAAAATAGCAGCTTTATTGAGACATAATTCACATAAAATTACTATGAAATGATCCTTTTGTACCATAAACTTTTCCCTTTTAAAGTGTACAATCCAGTGATTTTTACTATATTTACAGTCTTTATTGATTTTTTAAATGTACATAAGGAAAGTTTTTAAAGACCTGCTATTTGCCCCAAAGCGTGCAGGAAGTTTGGAGAAACGAATAAGCTGAGAGATATAGCACCAAAACGGTGGTCTTCAAAGATTCTGAGCTGAAAGACCAGCTTTCACATTTCCAGTCCTTGGTGGACAGATATGTGGTCACAGTGCACAAGACTTGTTGTAGCCTGGGCCATGTGCACCTCCGTGCGTGAGTCCAGTGATGTCCAAACTGGTCTACATGCTGATCGACCAGCCAGATCCCTTGATCTCATGCTTGGATATCATGGCGATTTCAAATTGCTGCACAAGTTCCTAAGTGCTCATTCCCAATTTGTGGACCAGTAAGAACAGGTCTCAGACGGGCACTGGTCTGTGAATCACATTTTAAGTAACACTACACTAGAGGAAACGTCTAGAAAATCAGTACCCTTATAGTTTTCTTCCTGGTTCTCTTTTTTTTTATACACAGATTCTTTTCTCCTAGGTCTTAGTCACCTCCTGGGCTCAGCCGTGGCCTCTGAGCTTCCCCACAAAGCCACGTTGCCATCGGGAGGCAAGTCCCAAATGCTGCTGACAGGCGGTTTAGAACTGGAGCTGGCGCTCAGCCATGATCTCACGCCCTGCACAACCACACGTGATCTCCTCTCCAGTTTCCTGATCTCTGTGGATACTCCTGGATTCTCAGACACTCAGCCGTTTGGGGACCAGGGGAAGAAGCAGAGCTGGGAGCTTCCAGGCCCTCAGGCAATATTTGAAGAGAGGTCAGTGGCTAGGTGCGGATAGCTACCCCATGCAAAACTGTAATAATAGCCGAGTACTGGGAAACCTTTATTGAGATGTAGCAGTCAAACCACACAGTGGTTAAGCAACCATAACGATGTCTTAAATAATCAGTTCAGCGGGTCTCTATTTAACATAATAGCTGTCTATTAAACATGAATTAAGTACAGAGTTAAATGTCTCCAGGACACAAAAACCCCCAAACGACTGCCAAACCTAGAACGGAGCCTCTGGCTGGAATGAGCTAGGAGAGCACCGCCTCGTCTGGGTGTGCTCTGGGCTGGATAGAGCAGGAGTCCCGTCCCACTGCCCAGCTGTCTGTGCTTGAAGAAGATTTCCCAGGGTTGGGGTGTGGGGGAGGACTGGCTTTGCAGTACACTTCAGTCCTGATTATGTTTCATAAGCCTTTTACTTTCATAGACATTCCCGAATATGCCAGAAATACAGAAATGCCTCCGAGAAGTCTTGTGAGGCCTCTGTGGCCTCGAAATTGCCAGAATGGTTGTAAGTTCTTCCCCTTCTCCCCACTCCTACTCCTCTGCCATAGACAGGTCTTTATCCTGTGCTTGGACCACAGTAAGAGATTTCCAGCCCTCAACCTCCTTCCAAACCATTCTCTACCCTGCCTTATTCACCCTCCCTCCCTCCCTTTTTTCCTCCCTACCTCCCTTCCTTCCTTCCCTCCTTCCTCCCTTCCTTCCCTCCTTTCTTCCTTCCCACCTCCCTCTCTTCTGGAAATACTTACTTTGCACCTACTATGTGCTAAACACTCCAGTAGCAATACAGTAGCAGCAAAAACAGACCCCTGGGGCTTCTATTTTGGTGGGAGAGGCAGCCATTGATCAGCGTGCTCTTTCTAAGACACAGTCTGACCTCAGACTCTTTGGATCTTCTCTCCCCTGATCTCTAAGTCTCCAGGAATAAAGACCCTGTTTATTTCCATGCTCATTTCCTGCATCTTCCACCTTCCTCCCTACAGGCCAGCCACTAAGTACACCCATTTAGTTATGTTGCTTAGGGCTCCTTCTGGGGACCACCTGCGTGGACTTTACCTAGGATTATATTGATAGTTTAGAATGCATATTCCCAGGATCCTCCCCAGATCTACGGAACTGGAATTTTTTTGTTGGTTGGGCTGGAGAATCAGCCTTTAATTTTTTTTAAAATTTATTTATTTGTTTAAAAATTTTTTATGGAATATAGTTGATTTACAATGCTGTGTTAATTTCTGCTGTACAGCAAAGTGAATCAGTTATACATATACATATATCAACTCTTTTTTTAGCTTCTTTCCCCATATAGGTCATTACAGAGTATTGAGTGGAGTTCCCTGTGCTATACAGTAGGTCTTTATTAGTTATCTATTTTATATATAGTAGTGTGTATATGTCATTCCCAATCTCCCAATTTATCCCCCCCACTTTACCCTCTGGTAACCATAAGTTTGTTTTCTACATCTGTGACTCTATTTCTGTTTTGTAGATAAGTTCATTGGTACCCTTTTTTTAGATTCCGCATATAATGGATTGGAGACCTTTAATTTTTTATCAGGTTCCCCAGGCAACTTTGCTGCATGCCAAGATCAGTAAGTCACCACTGGTCAGCCTTTCCCCAGTTTTTCCTGCATCCAGGCCTTTGCTGCCAGCCTCCCTTGTCCTGGCCCTCAATCCTGTAGATCTGCCTGGGGACTCCCATCTGTCAAGGCTCAACTCAGTGTCTCAACCTCTATGTCTTTTTCTGACCCTCCCCCATAGCTGAGCCGGTGGCTCCCTCCTAGGGTCCTGCCTCTCTTTGCCAATGCACATACCCACAGAGATGGCTGGCAAAGGCCTACTCAGTTCAGAGCTCTGTTGATATAGCTGTGCCCTCTGGGAGAGTCCCCGCAGGCCAGCTCCTCTGCATAGCTCAGTCCCTGGATGGCTCACTGCTAGCCGGCCCCAGCTTCCAGTGGGGTAATGCAAGAACTGCAGTGTATAGTGGTCAAGAGAAAAGGTTCAAGTCCTGGCCCCTTCACTCTCTGGCTCTGTAGCATTGTGCACGTAACCTCTCGGAACCTGTTTGCCCAAGTATAAGTGGGGATGTCGACTGAAAAAAATGACAACCTAAAAGTTGAGTTACGTTTTATTTGGTGAACAAAACTGAGGACTTAAGCCCAGGGCACAGCATCTCAAATAGCTCTGAGAGACTGCTCCGAAGAGGTAAGGGGGGAAGCAGGACATATAGGAGTTTTTGCAACAAAGACCAGGTAGTTGGAACATCAAAGGATTCTAATTAAAGAAACCAGACATCTCAAGTTAAAGAATTGAGTGTTTTTCTGTGTGTGGGAAGATGCAAGAGTTTGGGCTCACTGAAATCATTCCTTTGATAGCACCAGAGCTATCGGGCCATTATCCTGTGCTTTCTCGTCCTGAGTCTCCTCAGGGTGCACTGCTGGGATGGTGGTGGCTGATAGCTTGGTGGCAGGATTTCTGTTTCCATCCCGAGTTCCCTCAGGGCTCACCACCGTGGGCTGCTGTAGTGGCTGATGGCTGCAATATCCTTTGTTTACTAATACGGCAGGCAGCATTCTTAGTCCACAGGGATGATCCACCTGACTTGTGGGGTTGTCTCGAGGAATAAAGAATCAAAGCATGTAATAATTCTCCAAAACAGTGCTTTCACACTCGAATGTGCCCAGGAACCATCTGGCTGTCTTGTTGAAATGCAGGTTCTGATAACCAACCTCTGGAGCAGTGGCTCCAAAGGTTGGTTATGAGTGGTGTTATTGACATTAAAACCAGTGTGCATATGAAAAATCCCAGGGAAGCTTTTCATGAAAGCACAAGGCACTTCAGTTTGGAAAGGGAAACCCTAGGGGTGTCTGCTACCAGTCAGTTGGGCTCAGTGTAGAGGTCAGAAAGTGGCTCCCACAACCTGTCAGTTATGCACCTCCAGATGTGATACTGTCTTGTTCTCCCCTCTACCCCGGGGGGAAGTGGATGGACGGCTGTGAACATCGGGACGGGCGCAGGCTTCTCCCTGGGCGGTGGCACAGGGGTACCGGGCGCACAGCCTGACCTTGCCCCGCCTCTGCCGGGAGCGCGCATGCGCAGAAACTTTGTCAGGTATTCAATGCGTCTAAATGCTATGGGAGATATATCTGGGGCGCTTTGCATCACCTACATCTTCATTTTCTTACTGCCACTCTTCATCCTCCCACCCCCCTCCCACCATAGAAACAGCTCTTGCTAAGAGCATTAATTACCTTCTGCTACTGCAAATACCAGATATTTCTTTGTCCTCTTTCTTGACCTCTTATCAGTGTTGAACAATGACGATCACTCCCTCCTTCTTGAAGCACTCTCTTCCTCTGACTGTCCTGAGTGCCACTCTCCTGATTTTGCAGGATTGCAGGATTGCCCTTTTCTATTGGCGTTAAATGTCGGAACTCCTTAAGAACTGAATCCTAGGCTCTCTCTCCTCTCCTGTCTTTATCCTTGGGAAGTCTCATTCACCCCAATTGTAAGTCTTAAAAGTCGGTAGGTCATGTAAGTCTGGTACCACTTAGATGAGAATGGCACAGTCATTTATTTGTATGTCAACTCCACAGAACTTCTGAACAATTGCCAACCAGCTCTTAGAGCTCTCAAAGGCACCTCAAGATCAGAACGTCCAAAACCACACTTGTGATCTCTCTTGCTTCAGTCTGTCAATTTCCAGGTTTCCCAAATCAGTGACTGACCCCAGTTTACAGGGGGAACACCTAAATATCATCCTCAACACCCCTTTCTCTCACTTCCCACATTTTATGCGTGCACAAGTCTTTTTGATTTGACGTCTTAGAGTTTCTCTCAAAATCTGTCCACTTTGCTTAATCCCCATCACCACCACATCTGTAGGGCTGTGATTGTTATTTTGGTTTTGAGCATCACCTGTCTCTTCCTCTACTGGAGGAGACCGGGAAAGCCAAGTATCCCACAAAGTCGAGGACAAGCAATGGATTTCATCTCTTTTCTCTAAGGATAGTTTCATTCAATATGGTGGGAAACAATTCTTGTGGGATGGCTTGGACCACTGATGCAGGATGGCTTGGACCAAATTAGTCTAGGCTTGGTTTTCTTTTGTGAGGTGGGATTGGAGTTCATCTCTTGCCACCTACCAGAAAACTCTTCCTAAGGGTGTAGGCACTGCTGTTTCACGTGGATGACCTGACTGATAAGGATAGGAGCGAGAAATTGTATCAGTGTCTGTTGTACGATCAATTTTGCTTTCCACATTTTAAAAGTGAATTCATTTGCTCTACATAATAGTCTGGACACATGTTTTCTTTGTTCATCCATTTACTCATTTGTCTGGGAAGATCTGTTTTGGGGAGTAATTTTTGCTTTATTGAGGAGACAGTGTAATCCATAATGAGAAAATTTCCATCTTCATGCTTCTGCTGAGGACTGTGTGAGTGTAAGAAGCGTGGTGATGAAGAATGGCAGAGCCTGTCCTGGTCCTTGACTTTGCCCCTTGTCTGAAGGGCTCCCTGGGAGCAGGTGTCAGAGCTCCCAACTCAACTTTGTGAGCTGAAACCTTGGTTTTTAGATTTGTTTATTTATTTATTTATAGAATTTTGTTATAAATCTAGATCCAAAGCACAAGTTTTAATCCTTAGTTTTCTTTTATTTAGCTGGAAGTCAGTGTACAGTGTTTGCACTCAGACTACTTGGGTTCAAATTCTAGTTAAGCCTCTTACTTGCTAGCTGTGCATTATGGGGCGCAAGACTTACCTTTTCTTTGCTGTAGTCTCCTCAAGTGTAAGTTGGGGATCATAATAATACTCCACCGTTAGTGTAGCGAGGATTAAACAGGATGCTGTGTGCTGTAGAGCACTTAGCTCAAGACCTTGTTTTTGGTGGCTATCTTTTTCTTTTCTTTTCTTTTCTTTTTGACATCACTATCTTTGTTTTTTTCCAGTTTGTTCTTTCTCATCATCTTTTCTTGGCATACTGTTTCTATCTATGCCTCAAACATGGGCTTTCCTGAAGGTTCTATCCTTAATCTGTTTCTTTTTTTTCTTACTCAACACATATTTTGGAGGGTGATTTAATTTAATCTTGTGGTGCCAACTCTCCTTTCTTTGGTTATGACCCCAAGATCTGGGCCCCCAGCCCAGCCCCTTTACTGCAAAGCTCAGACCACATTGCTAGAGACCTGCTCAGTGTTTCCACGTGGATGTCTCTTGGGCACTTTTGAGTCTGAGCCCACCTTTGTGTCCCACCTCCTCTCCTTGACAACAGCAACTCAGCCTTCTCTTCCCGCCTTGGTGTCTAGATTCTAGCTCCTTAACATCCTGGACGTTGCCTTTGAACATGTGTCAGGCTCTCTTAATAATAATGATAATATTACTATATGACTTCAATAACTTTTAAAAAAGTAAATCAGATAATAAAACTCTTATTCTTAAAACATGGTCATGCCTTTTAAATGCAAAAATGACTATTTCCTTTTGTCCAACTTGGCTACAAGTTAGAAGTTCC